ATCTCAACTCGATTGAGATGATCAATGATAATGTATAATTCTGTAATGATAATGTTGGTTTTGATATTGATGTCGATAATTACGACATTCCGTATCAGTATCAATAAGTTTTAAGAAAGTACAAGAAATCTGTTTGACATTTTGATAAAATTTTGAACATGATTGAGAAATCGGATATTTTATTCGTTCGAAAGTTTCTAATTTCCGCAAATTTAAAGTTTAATATCTAAAACAAGGTTTTCGGGAAGCCAATTAAAATAAATTAATAGTTTTTTTTTTATCTAAAACAAAGTTTTAAGGAAGCTTTTTACGGTCAGTGAGTAATGTTTTTCTACATAAAGTGTATTATGGATTAACGAAGAAGTAATGCTGAACATCCTCAATATCGGACTCACATTTGCAAAAAGTATCATTTATAATTTGAGCCCGAAAAAGGTCATAGTTGAAAAATGAGGCAAAGCTTCGCATTTTCGTAAAAGCATAGATGTGAGTGTGATAGAGCAGATTGTTTTACGTAGAAAACCTTGAAAACTGAGGCGAGTCAGACACTAGAATAAAAAGTAGTTACAAGTTGAAAAAAACCCTAACCAAGTGAGCAGAATTGCATTGATCACTTAACATAAAGATATATTTCAAACTAAGGTATCACAGCTATTTCGATCCTAAGCATAGATGCTACGTTAGATATATTTTTTAGTACAATCGATGATGATGTTTAAGTGTTGAGTTTATTACCCTGAAACATCGTTATCGCTGATATCAAAATAGATCGTTTATTTAGAAATAAGAAGATTTTGTATGATTGAGACAAATATCCACCCTTATTTTTCCAAACTTGGGATAGGCAGACAAGGATATTGACTAAACATGTTTGCTAGCCTACCATAACCTCTCCCAATCATTGGAGAGTGGTGAAACAGCACAAAATAAGAACAAACTATGAAAAACATTTGAAAAAGACTTTACTCATCAAATCAATACACTCATCCTCCCAACCTTCCCAATAAAGAAAACAATTAGCAAAAACACAGCACAGGCGTGATATTGTATTTATACATCCCCAAAGGAAAAAACGACACCAATCAGAGATCTGAGAATTAGCAGTTACAAAAATGTACTGAGAGCTAGTTAAAATTAAGTCAATCTCAACTTATAAACATATCAAGTAAGTTCCTAAGGATTAAATTCGGGTTTATGTTTGAAGAATTGTTAATGTTTTAAAGAACACATATCAAATATCACCAAAGCAACGGTTAGTGCTGTTTAATTTATCAATTAAATGCAATCTAGTCTACTGAATCATAAATTGAGATTCATAACAGCATCTCTGCCATTAGAATGGCACAATTGGTGCCTACGTATTTTTCAGTTATGGTGTAAAATTGCCAGAGGCCACAGTAGTCATCTAATGCTAAAATCTCCGTACTGTGACCTATAATGGTTTACTTTTATATATTTTGACTTGGATGGAGAGTTGTCTCATTGGCACTCATACCACATCTTCTTATATCTATGTTACATTGGCGTTTATTTTGTTATACTTTAGTGTGTCTGTTGTTCTGTTGTTTTCTTCTTATAGTTTATCTGTTTTTCTCGGTTTTAGTTTGTAAACCGGATTTGTTTTCTGTAATAAGATTTATGACTTTTGAAAAGCGGGAAACTACTGTTGCCTTAATATATACCTTAACATTAACATTTGTACGATATCCTATCGCATTTTAAATGATAAATTCATCGTCATTATTCTAAATCTTAGATTTTATTTAAATTGAGTACTTTGAGAGTTTTGTTTTAATTTTACTCTATATGCAAATGTTGTGCAGTATAGACAAACGCTTAATAATCTTGATTTAAAATATTCAGTTTTGATCCATCCTGACGATAATAAATCGAGTAAATAAACTCCTCATAGATACCAGGATTAAATTTTGTATTTACGCCAGACGCGCGTTTCGTCTACAAAAGACTCATCAGTGACGCTCGAATTTAAAAAAGTTAAAAAGGCCAAATAAAGTACGATGTTGAAGAGCATTAAGGACCAAAATTCATAAAAGTTTTGTCAAATACAGCTAAGGTAATCTATTCCTGAGGTAGATAAGCCTTAATATTTAAAAAAATTCAAAAGTTTTGTAAACAGTTAATTTATAAATATGACCATATCATTGATAATTCTTGTCAGCATAGAAGTGCTGACTACTGGGCTGGTGATACCCTCGAGGAATTAAAACTCCACGAGCAGTGGCATCGACCCAGTGGTTGTAAATAAACTCATCATAGATAAGTGTTTCGGTCGCATAAAAGTTTTAAGTGTTGCTTTAATGTTTTACAGCGATGTGTCGTTATCGCTGCTGGTATACCGTAAGTCACCGAGGGTATCATTATCTGTATATCATGTTGTAAAGCCAATACTTTGATACTGAAATGATTTAAAACAAACCTTTCTTAAATGGTCCGTGTATAAACTTGTTAAGTATTAAGAATCCAAGTTGTCCTCAAATGGATTTTGCAATTCCTTTAAATGCTGTTTCGTCATATATCTCTTCAAATATTTCAGATCTTATAAATCTTCACTTTCAAATATTCAGCTTTGAGTGTTTCTGATTAAGGTAAATTCGTTATTATGGTAATAGTGTATGTGCTTCGGAGGAGTAAATGTTGCTTATTGTTAAAGGCTGTACGGTGACCTATAGTTGTTTAATTCTACGTCATTTGGTCTCTGGTGGGAATTTGTCTTACTGCATGGCAATCATACAACCTCTACTCATTTTTATATGTTGAACCTTATAAATATATAGAATAACCATACATTGTCTCGAAAAATAAGTTTAATTTGTACAAGGCAAATTTTATTTGTACAAGGCTTAAATACAGGTAGGTAACGAGGCTGTGCCGGGCATTTTATCCTGTTTAAGCCGGGAACATATAAAATTGATGTTTCGAGACAAAGCATGTTTACTTTTAATAATCTGCAACTCACATGACTCATACAACTTTTTCATATGATATATTAAGGGTAAATAACATCATTTCTTAACTTTATAGTGGACATCGTCAAACATCTGCAAGATTGTGTTTTTAATGACGTCATAAACTCTACTGAAACGCTTTGTCAACGTCATAAACAAGACAATTTACGGCCCGGGATTGTTCATCAAAAACACGTATACGATCAATGCAATTTACAGCTACATGTATACAGTATAATTTTGTATGCGGTTCAATAAGACTGTTAACACATGTCTTTGAGGTAAACAACCATTTATCTGCTTCATAATTGTTTCTGGTTATTATTACCATAACCCTTTCCTTTTATTAGTCATTGATTGAATAAGACAACATGCCATAGTATGGTTCTATTGCCCAAATTGATAAAAATATTGTTGATTTTTTAAAGTCCTGATATCTGACTATTTATTACAATTTTCAAACAAATCTATTACATTAGCAATTTCGGTTCGCCTGGATCCAAATACGTGTTATTCATCGTTCAAATGATAAAAACAAATCAGCTGCGAGGTAGGTTGAATCATTGTATATTTGATTTGACCTTATCTGTCACCGTACTAAATTGTAATCAGATTTAAAATTGTAGGAAGAGGTATTACATGAAAGGTAACACGTGGAGGTTAAACGATTTATTTATTGACAACTGTAAAGTATGTTCATAAATGATTGGACATGTTTTTCACGTTTTAGAAATTTAATATAGGTTGGAAAATCCTTCTCAATAATTGTAATACTGTGTTTTTCAAATCCTACGTCTACCAGCTATTACAGTAATTTGTTTCTATCAAAACTAACTTCTATTCGATCATTTTAATAAGAAACTAATTTATAAAAAAAAACGAGAAGCTGGATAAACTATAATGTACGACGACGCATGCTTCATTAGTAAATACTTTCAACATGTTTAATAATATTTCATAAATAATAAACATCCAAGGAGTTCATATCTCCAGAGAACTAGGGGTTGCAAACCAATTTGAGTTTGACATAAGAAGTGGTGCACAAAATATACAAAAAATATACACGGATATGATTGAAAAATAAAAATTTCTTATCCATTGATATACCAATTACTACTCTTTAATTTGAACATTAACTTTTATAAAATTGTACACATTGATATATTTGAGATATATACACGTTAACTAATTTCATTTCAACTTATAGGTTACACTCACAAAAGGAAGAGCAACACATCAACCCAACCATTCATGCATGTGTCCATTGTCTGAGGTAACACGGTTATCAATGATGTGATAGATGTTGTAAATAAAGAAATGACGGTGTTCATTTTCACTTTCTTGTTCATTACTAAGAACATCCATCAATTTTTTAAGACAATAATTGCTTTCCAAAATATGCTTTATCACCTTAGATACAAATTGTCTCGATTAAAAGGAATTAGCAAAGTTAACATTTTAATGATCATCTAAGATGTTAACTGCATGGGTTAAAAACAAATCATCTAAAGAAAACGATTACATAAAATGAATGGTCTATGCTTACAAGTTATTTCAATTGAAGACATTTTGTGAATTTAACATTTTAATTGTTGTTCACGTGCAATTAGAAGTATGTACACTGACAATATTTAGATCTAACTTCAAATAAAGCTAATCTTCTTGGCAATGAACACTGATCTTTCCTGGAATTTGATATATATATCTTAAAGGGAATTTTAATACAAAAATTTACGATACAAGAATTTTTTTCATTTCCTATTGTTAATTGTTTAGATGGTGACCTTCCGTTGTCAACATCTTATTGGGTCCATATATCTCAACTTGTTTGATTGGTTCGTATATGTTATGAAGTATTTGATTTTAAAGAATCTCTGAATCTCTGAAAAATTATTACACCAGGGTTTTCGATATCCCTAACGTGTCAAAACATATATTTGATTTCATCATCAGTAAAAGTACAATATTCGTAAATATAAATAATGTTTTGACATCTTATGAGTTCAGGTATTTCTTATCCAATATTTTATGGTTGTATTCAATGCAAAGCACAAAAGTATGTTCAAGTAAGCTCTACATTGTCAAACAAATTTCCAGTAAACAGAGGGTGATTACAACTCAATGACAATCATCCTTTGATAACTTTCCATGTATTATCTGTCTTTACTGTAGAGTTTTCTGGTCCTATAAATGACACAGCCGCTGGTCTGTCTCCTGTCAGGTACCTACAAATGTATTATCGGAAAGTATAAAGTAAAATTTATCTACCTAGTGTCAAACTTACTTCCTATTTGGAATCATATATAGAAAGTGAAAATAATAAACTAGAGGCTCTAAAGAGCCTGTGTCGCTCACCTTGGTCTAAGTGCATATTCAACAAAGGACACTCTACAACATTGCTCTGGTCAGATTTTCTCTATTCATAACGATTTTCAAAATAATAGACAAAATTTGCATTTTACCCTATGTTCTATTTTTAGCCATGTCGGCCATCTTCGTTGACAGGCCGGGTCAGAGGACACATTTTTAAACTAGATACTCCAATGATGATTGTGGCAAAGTGTGGTTAAATTTGGCCCAGTAGTGTCAGAGAAAATTTTTGTAAAAGTTTACAGACAATGGAAAATCGACATTAAAGGGCAATAACTCCAATAAGGAGTCATTGGACGATTTCCTCCTTCCAGTCCTAAATGTAGATCTTGTCTTGCTGATCATTTTTGCTTATTTTAGTTTCTATCTATCTATTATAATTTTGAAGATAAAAGACAAAAACGCAATAAGTTGGTAAAAATCGTCATCAAAGGGCCATAACTCTAATAAAGAGTCCACTGATGGTTGACCATTAGACTTATTAGTAGAACTTGCCTTGCTGATCATTTTTGCAACTTAAAGATTCTCTCGATCTATTATAATTTTCAAGAAAATAGGCAAAAATGGTAAAATTTGTCATTTAAGGGCAATAACTCCTACAAGAAGTCGTTTGACAGTTTTGACTTATATGAACAAATAGTAGAGCTCAACATTCTGAACATTTTGCACGTGTCAGAATTTCTCTATTTATAACAGTTTTCAAAATATTATACAAAACTTGCAATTTACCCCTATGTTCTATTTTTAGCCATGTCGGCCATCTTGGTTGCGGGCAGGGTCATCAGACTAATTTTTTAAACTAGATACCCCAATGATGATTGTGATTAAGTTTGGTTAAATTTGGCCCAGTAGTTTCAGGAGAAGATTAGAGTCGGATAAAAATTTATCTTATGCAAGTGCATGTATACATGTACATGTATAAGACTTTAATTGGGTTTGGAACATTGGAATACGAAATAAAAGATGGTTTTTTTTGTCTGTTTTGTAAGACCCTTGTAACAACTCTCTTTACAAACAGTAACAGACATTCCTTAGAGATTTTTTCAACCTGAAATAGGATAACAGATGTATTGAGATTCATTTGCATAAGGTCGATTTCTATCCAACGCAGCTCACATGATAACATTGACCTTATCTGATACAGAAATGATCATGACTTATGAGTGTTTCTAATCAAAGAGAAGTGTGTGAGAATTGCCACAAAATGTTTGTCATCTCTGTTAAATCTATTCACAACTTGCAATAGGCTATGTTAGACTTATCATAGTTCAAAGTTGACAGCAAAATAGCAAAAACGTGTTAATTTCGATATAAACATAAGATGATATGGTATGACCGCCAATGAGACAATTATCCACCAGATTTTAAATGACATAGAAGTGAGCAATTATAGGTCACAGCACATCCTTCAACAATGAGAAAAACACATACCGTAAAGTGCGCCATAAAAAGCCCTAACAAGAAAATTTCTTAAATTATTTGGTTTGCTTGTGTTGATAAATATCTGTCCCATCGGTGTTTTACACCCAAATATTCTTTCATTCATATCCTAACTTACTTTTTGGTTACATTTATAACATCCTGTTTTGATACTTGGAATAATCTGTCTCTCATAGTCTGTCTCATCTCATCTGTAATTCCTGACAAAAATAATGTCATACCAGCTGAACCTGGAGTTATAGGCTTGTCAGTCTGCAATAAAAAAAAGAAGTTTAATTTACACAATTTGATTGAATACTTCTTAATGCTATCAAGTAAGTTTTATTTGACATGGGAGTAATATTAATCTTAAGAATGGATATGTATAATAACTTTTGCTTTATAACTACCTTGAGTACATCCATCTTTGGAGAGATTAACCATAGCTTCACTTTCATACTAAGATGAAATGCTTCGCCAAGCGCAGCCTGATACGACTGCGGAGGTCGAACCCTGAACAAGTTTGGACACAATATTCAAGCTTGATACTGTCTGAATTTGGATTGTGATCAATTTTTGACAGAATATAGGTTTCTGACACAAAATAAATGTAATAAACAAGTAAAACTGTGAGCAACTGCTCACTGGGGTAACTGGATACTATTAATAGTGTAAAAATATGTAAGTGTTTGGTAAACAGGAAGATGCTGAGTGATGAATCTGAAAATGCATCACACAGTATAGCTGACTTATATAAACCCTGAAACCAAATTTCAGAAATCCTTGTATTGTAGTTCCTGAGAAAAATGTGACGAAAAATATTCATGGGAAGGATGGAAGGACTGACTGACAGACTGACGGACGGACGGACAGACGGATGGACAGACAGAGGTAAAACAGTATATCCCCACTTTTTTAAAGCCGGGGCATAAAGATCTTAAAAATTTGAAATGGGTTGAAATATTTGTATGAATTTTCAATTGAAGATTTCTTGCTATTGCGCAATACTGTGCAATTTGATATTTCTTGCTATTGCACAATACTGTGCAATTGGATATTTCTTGCTATTGCGCAATACTATGCAATTGGAGATTTCTTGTTATTGCACAGTATTGTAGTATTGTGCTATTGCACAATACTGTGCAATTGGATATTTCTTGTTACTGTGCAATACTGTGCAATTGAAGATTTCTTGCTATTGCCCTATACTGTGCAATTGATGATTTCTTGCTATTGCACAATACTGTGCAATTGAAGATTTCTTGCTATTGTGCAATACAGTGCAATTTGATATTTCTTGCTATTGTGCAATACTGTGCAATTTGATATTTCTTGCTATTGCACAATACTGTGCAATTGGATATTTCTTACTATTGCACAATACTGTGCAATTGAAGATTTCTTGCTATTGCGCAATACTGTGCAATTTGATATTTCTTGCTATTGTGCAATACTGTGCAATTTGATATTTCTTGTTATTATACCTCAGTATATTTTTTCTATATCAAAAAAGACTGAAATATTTGTGCTATTTCATTCCACAGACTACTTGCCAGTCAATAGTTTCAAATACTATTACCCTGGTCAATAGTTTTATAAACATATTTCCCATACTTTTTCATACTAATTTTTCATTGGACAACAACGACGTCAGACTATTCTGCCTGGATTTGTGCGCTAGGCAACGTTAAACTCTGAAATATCGTAAACGGTTTAATCTGTATGTGTCTGTCGTCGTAAATTCAAATTTATATGTTACTTACAAGAAGCAATTAAAAAAGAAAAAGAAATCTACGCTGCATATTTTAAGAACTAAAACATAACAAATTTATGGTATGGGTATGTCGTCATCTTCATAATCTGGGATTGCTTTGGTGTATGGTAAAATAAATTAGCTAGTATTTATTAAATGCACATAAAATCTTACACATTGAAGGATTCCTGGTCTTGATACTGTGCAATTGAAGATTTCTTGCTATTGTGGAATACTGTGCAATTGAAGATTTCTTGCTATTGTGCAATACTGTGCAATTGAAGATTTCAATACTGTGCTATAGTGCAATACTATATTATGCAATTGAAGATTTGCTGCTATTGCGCAATACTGTGCTATTGCACAATACTTGGTATAAATTACACATCATGTTTGGTGTGTATATCCTGCCATATCAGTATGTTTTGCTTTTATTTATAAATCGGAATGAATCAATGTAAAAAAGAAAAAAATCCCCAAAATGTTATGAAAAAAAATATCCCACCCCCCCCCCCCCCTCCCAAATTTGTTTTAACCCCCATTTAAGTAATTACCCCCAAACTCAATCCCAGCTTTCCCTTTATGGTATGGTACCTTGCAGTACATTTTCAGAGAGATCCATACACTTAAACACAAGTTATTGTCTGGTAACTAGAAAAATGCTTGTTTTGGTCCTTTTTTGGCAGTTAATTTCTAAACTGTTGGTACCATAAACCCCAAAATAAATCCCAACCTTCCTTTTAATATGATACTGAACCTTCTGGTAAAATTCATCGAGATTCATTCACTTTAACTCAAGTTATTGTCTGGAAACCAAATGTGTCTTCAGACGATGCTGACGCAGACGCTGCTGTGCCGCCGCTGCCAAAATATACCAATATATGATGCAAAAAAAATTGTTTGCTGTCGTATAAAAACTAGTATACAAACATAGCTAACTTTTTATAAGAAATTGTGAGGTTAGACCAATCTGGCTAAAATCTTCTACCAATGTGCGCTCAAATAAAAGTTTAATGGCAGGAATGCAACTTAAAGATTAAGTACCTAAATTTCTATTGTTCCAACCCCCATCTCTACCCACAAATATACACAAGCCAATAAGAACCAGAGGCTGAATACTTGTCTTAAAAGTCACTTAAGAAGCTTAAAGTAATGAATGGTTTGATGAAAAACTAGGTTTTTTTTGCATGTCAGAATATTTCTAAGGAAGAAGAAATATTGTAGAGAATATATAAATACCTATTAGAAAACTGATAAATTCAGAAATTATTGCGAAAAATGCTACAGGGTTATGATCGCAATAATTTAAACTCACATTTTGAAAATTTTATATGAATTAAGCAGGATTTTTCTCAATATTGCAAAAATTTAAATCGCATTTTAGTCTAAAATGACAAAATCGCAATAATAAATGCATGCAATAATTTCTGAATTTACAGTATATAAATACCTGTTGGAAAACTGATAATTTTGCTTCATCAACATCCTCTGGTACAAACTTGTCTTCAACAACCCACTTTACTGCCTCGTCAAACACTTGTAATGTTTTACTGGAGTTTGGATCCCTACAAAACATGTAATAACCTGTGAGATGTCTATCATTAATTTCCTATTAATTTGCTGCTGCCAATATTTTCTTTGTGCCTACAGTCTCATGGTATCTATCAAATGTTGTTTTTTATTATAATGGACAAAACCCTTCTTGGACTTTGAAACGGGAGAAAAAAGTTTCCTTGTAAGTAAAACACTCACAGACATAATTTGGCAACATTAAATAAAAAATCCTTACCTGTATGAGTAGAAACTAAAAACTCCTGAACCACAAACAGCACCGCTTCCATATGCCCCACCTTTCTCTCTGCAATATAAATATTTTTAAATATTTGTATTGTAAATTCAGAAATTTTTGAATGAATCTCTTCTATATAGTGGTTGTTGAACAACCTACACAAACGCAAGATTAATTATTGCGATTTCAGGAAAATCCATATACCAGTTATGCTATCAAAAATTTAAAATGTGAAAATGCAAGTTTTTGTTTTTTTTTTCAAACCTATCATGTCACAATTTTCGTAATAAACTGTTATATGTCTCGCCTATTTGTTAATTTGGATAATGCAAATGTTGAAATTAAAATAGCAATACTTTAACATGTAAGTTATGCAAATATTCAAAGTCAATGAACCATGACTGAAGGTACAGGGCTAAACAATCTCCATGGAAATGAGATGTGCCAATGCTAATACAACTGCAAACCAAATACCATTGACTTTTCATAAGTCGTTCCCTTTAAACAAACCTAAACACAAACATTAATTTGTAAACTATGTAAAAGTTTCAAAGTCAATGAACCATAATTAGGGGGTGGGGTTATATAATCTCCATGGAAATGAAACTTGCAAATGCCAATACATTTGCATACCGAATATCATTGACTTAACATTAGTGGTTCATCTTGAACTGACCTAATCACAAACCAATACTTGTAAACTAAGCAAAAGTTACATAGTCAATAGACCATGACTGAGGGGTAAGGACCAAATATTCTCCATGGAAATGAGATGTTATCATGCTTATACAACTGCATACCAATTATCATTGACCTACCACTAACAGTTACCCTTAAACTGACCTAATCACAAACTAATACATGAAAACTAAGCAAAAGTTTCAATGTCAATAGACCATGAATGAGGGGGCAGGGCCAAAGAATCTCCATGGAAATGAGATGTGCCAATGCTTATACAACTGCATATCAAATATCATTGACCTACCACTAGTGGTTCCCCATAAACTGACCTAATCAGTAATCACAAACTAATACATGTAAACTAAGCAAAGTTTCAAAGTCAATAGACCTTGACTGAGGGGGCAGGGCTAAATAATCTCCATGGTAATGAGATGTGCCAATGTTAATACAACTGCATACCAAATATCTTTGACCTACCACTAGTGGTTCCCCATAAACTGACCTAATCACAAACTAATACATGTAAACTAAGGAAAGTTTCAAAGTCAATAGACCTTGACTGAGGGGGCGTGGCCAAATAATCTCCATGGTAATGAGATGTGCCAATGGTAATACAACTGCATACCAAATATCATTGACCTACCACTAGTGGTTCACCATGAACTAGACCTAATCACAAACTAATACATTGTTGATGCCGCCGCCGACGCCGGAAACAGCATACCTATGTCTCGCTTTTTGACTCCGTCAAGGAGAGACAAAAATAAAATATCATAAATTTACAGTAAGCTTTTAAATAATGATTCTTAAAAACACAGTTAACTTCAATTTGGGATATCTTCAGCATTTAAATTTCATAAAATGTTAAACAGACTAAGAACTCAAACAGCTGTTTTTATTGACACTGTACTGAAAAGTCTGAATGGTAATTATCATCTTTCATTGTCAAATTTCAAATCTTCACTGTGACAAATGCAGCTTTTTTCAGAGAATTTTTTTTGAATTTAATTAAGGGAGAATGGGAGTATAAATAACTAATTCAGAAATAAAACCATGCTTTCTCCAAAAATATAATATAAGTACATGTAATCAAGCTTTGATGCTACAGATTTTTTGCCTAATTCTGGTGATGGTTTAGGAACAAAGGACTTTTATGTGACTTGAAAGAAAATTAAGTAATAGAATATGAAATAAAAGACAAAATATTGAATCTTTCAGGGGGAACAATGGACTACATTTGTCTTGCAAAAAGACAAAGCAGATATATTTATTGAACAATCTATTATGAAATAAAACATCTGATTTGTCTCCCCTTGCAAAATCTTTAAAAAAAATATATAATTCTAGAGATTTGCTATGTTATTGCCATATAAAATCATTTCATTGTCTTAAGATATGAATTTGTCCTACAAATAAATTAATTTTCTGTTATTTTGGTTCAATTTATAACCATATGCATCACTTTGATAATAGCTTACTTCCAGTGCTATATAGAGTGTTCAGCAGCTGTTATTAACTTGCAATACCAAATTTTTATATTAAAGAAAAATATCTGAAAATACTATCTATCTTAATACACCTTATCACTATTTGGAAATCTGTCCAGGTTGACCCGAGAATCTGCCCAGCTTGAACTATTGACATTATACAACAATCACTTTTCCATTGTGGCATCAGATATTTTGTATTATGACGTCAAAATTTTAAGGGAACCTTTTCATATGTCCATTAATGGCCGTCAAATAGCGATAAGGTGTTACAGTATACTGTGGATTCATTATTATTCGTTAGATACCAATTTTTGTGGGTTTCATGGGTAGAGGTGAACAAGTATTCAAATGTTCAACGAATAACATATTTTCAATCGGCTTTGTATACAGAGATTGGCAAAACCCCAAAATCAAATATCCATGAAAATGCAAGTTTTTAGCAATCCACGAAAATTGATACCCACGAAAATTAATGAATCATACACAGTATCATTGATAAAAAATTCAAGATAATATGAGTATCAAAATGGCTATGCAGTCTATTATAATCATGATAATAGCTGACTCTTAACTGAAATTAAAAAGGAAGATACTTTTTCGACAAATCAATTTTTTTTAGTGCAATAAGGTCAAGCAGTCATATCTGTTGAAATAATACTGCAATTGAGACTGGTCGAGACAGGTCAAGACTTAGTCAAGATTGGTCGAGACAGGTAGAGACTTAGTCTTGACTCAGTCTCGAGTCTCTCGACCAGTCTCAACCTGTCTTGACCTTTAAATTTAGTCTAGACTGGTCTGAATCAGTCCATCTAACTCAATTATATATTGATTTTACAAAATTCCAGGTAATTTGGTAGTTTGATTCATTGCTGTCAAATTAAAGGATTTAATTAATAGGTATAAAAATCTAGAATTTTCAGTTCGGACTATATTCAGACAGTCTCTTAAATTATTTATTAAGTTAAGTTGAGATCAAAATCAAGTACAGTAAAGTACAGTTATGTACTGTCAAAATATCGTCGAGTCTTATCAAGTAAATTCTGTGCTCCTTTAAGTACAAAATATGGTATTTTCAGACTCTGAGCAGTTTGAAGTGTAAGGTCCAGAATTTCGATCAAATTAGCAAAATTTGATGAGGAATGCAGATAACTAATGTGATTTTTCATTTAAAAGAATAAATTTATAACATTTATAACATTTTAACTTATAAATATTAATATTTTTACAAGCGTAGATTATTTTTGCTTGCTTCTTAATGTTTTACATGGTATTTAAAGGGAGGTAAGGCTGGAATAGTGCATTTTCTGAAGAAATCTACATGAAATTTTGCAATTTTATATTTTAGCTGGAAAAAACATACGGTGATCCTATCTTTTCAATTGATATACTCAAAGCATTTTCTAAAAGCTATCTTCTAGTATTTTATTTTATGATTCTATCAATTTTTTAAGCTATCACATAATGATGTTTTTTCCTGTATAAACCATACAAATTGTGTCATTTTGTCACAACCTGTAGCTTGAGAAAAAGCTCGGTGACCTGTCATTTTTATTATATTTTTGAACATATCACAATATATACTACATTTTGGCAAACTATGGACAAACTCTATCATTTTTAATTTAAACTCCCATACCACCTTAACTCTTGATAATTAAGTCAAATTTTATCTATTATTTTTGTCCCTTTAGCCTGTACTTTTCCCAATTATTTTCTATTGTGTTAAGGCCATCCAGTGCTTATATATAACTTAAATTTTTACCTGATTTCTCTGTGTAAATATTTAGCTGACATCATTCTGGATAAAACTCTCAATCTACAATAACAAACAACACATATATATATATATATATATATATACATATACAAACAAGTCTAAATTGAAAACAACATTCAAACCTATGATTGTGTTGGATAAAAACCACAATTTTTATACGTGTGAATGTAAAAACAAATTTCTTGGTAGAGGGGTCTAAATACAGCACAAACAACATTTTCCAAAAGACCGAAAAAGTGAAAAAGTATATTTTAACAAAACGCATTTGATTAACAGGTCGAACAACTGATGTTCTTAAACCATGCTGACTGCCATTGACAATTGCCAAATAAATTGATCACGAGATGTAACATTTATCTTAATTATTAATTTAATACCAAACAGAAAACAATAAACTTGCGGAGAAAATGGTATACCGCAAACATGAGGTGCAAAAATTTGTACACCATATCCAGATTTCGACATTTAATGTCTCTTCAGTGATGTTAGGGATAGAAACGGTATTTGGAAGCTAAGGCCATATAATATATATAGTTTATAAATCTGCAATATGCGGTTCTGCATCAAATCATTGATGATGATTTGAAAATAATCAGTACTAGGACACCATGCTCTGCTTGCACAACTACCTTTCCATGTTCAGTGAACAATAAAATCTGGGTCAAAATCCTTCTTTTGGCATATACATTAAACAGTTCACTCTAATATAGAACTACAAGGTCATGTGACTTTTTAAAGTAGACTGAGGAACAAACTTTCTGAAGTTTAAATCTGAAATCCCAGACAGACAGATAAACAGAGGGACACACAGATCTGAAAACAGTGTCGATTCTTATTTTTTTCTGAATCTGAAAAAATGTATTTTTGTGGATTCCTCATTTCGTGATATTGATGAATAATGCATCCAATCCTACGGGAAATTTGTAAAGTGTTGAAAACTTAAATTATAGTGATTAGTATATACTTATATAAACTTCTAAAATAAATAGCTATATATAAGGTCATTAAGAGAAATTTGAAAATTTGAAGAAAAAAAATAAAATTTTTAAACTGTCATGTATATTTAAATCTATGTTCAAGTTTTTTTCCATTTGTCTATAAAAACTTACATAGGAAAATCTTCATGCGTGTATGGTACTGTTTCTACTGCTTTACTCATGTAATTTACAGAGAATGGAAGTTCAAACTGTGTCTTTACTAATTCTGGTTCAAAATAACCATGCTGAAGTGAAAAAAATTACAAATATTCAAAACTCAAATCAGGGTTGTATAATGTCCATGTTTTCATGATAGCAAAAAATTGCGTCTGAATAGATTTAGCAAACTTAGAAACTTAGAATTTAACTTTGATATGATTATTTGTATCCAGCATTTCCTGAAATTGCAAAACCAATTCTGAATTTTTCTGTAAACATTTGTTAAAAATATAAAATGCATACAATAATTTATGAATCTTCAGTACTAGGTCAATATATTACACAACTGAATAATAAAAGTCATACTCCTAAATATAAAACTTTCAATATGATGATAAAAATATGACTATATAAGTTGCTCATTCTTTAAATATTTTGTTTAACATAAACAAAGTTAAAGTTCAAAAACATGTATATTTTGTTACTTTTGTTTTCAAAGATTCGACTACTGTAACAATGTTAAATTGATAACCATGAAAAATAACTTTATGATGTAATACCACCATTTATTTTCCCCTATAAGTCTTTGTTAAATTTGCACTTTTCAAAAAATCGGGTAGAATTTATCTTTGTTTCAAATAAGGAAATACTTGGCATGAGTAAAGTTTTATCCTGTCCAGTACTATAGACAAAATTTCACATAACATTTCATTGCATATAAGAAAATAACCATCACTGGAAGTTAACCAATCAAATGTTCACCTCTTTTTTTAACTTAACATGCTTTAGTAACCATGTAACCTCAAGTTTCCAAAATATTCTTTTAGAAACACCAAATAAAAAAATAATGGTGCTTTGAAACACACAAGATATATGTTTATGACGCAAATTTTTTACTGCAATGAAATGTAGGTTTAATTTCTGACAACTTTCAAAATTTTTTTAAACCCTTTTTCATATGCAACCGGATGTGAAGTACTTTGATTTGGTGGTATTACACCTGATTTGAAGGACTTGTATATATTTTCCTATTTCAAATTTCCTGGTAATTACCTGTGTATATTTTTCTGTAGACTTTATATCCCCTGGTATTCCTTCAATGAATGTTTCCACTTTATTCTGATTAGAAGACATTTGTTCTGATGTACTGTTGATTGCAAACCTAAAACAGAAATAAAACAATATATATGATTATCCTTATATGAGCTGCTTCAGATAGAAAATGACCATATATGCAAATGAACACATGCAAGTACATGTATAAGACTTTGATTGGTTTTGGAACATTCAAATACGATATAAATGATTAATTCTAATATGACATCCTTCTTTCCCTTTGGAAACAAAGCCATGTTCTAATTACAATAAAACATGGATTGCACATGATTGACGTCACAATTGAAATTGCAACGTCAGTTTTATTTTTGAACAACGCCGGAGGTCAAAATAGGCAGTTTTGTTGGTGTTGCTTGCTAGGAAATTAAATAAAATCATTCTGAAAGTAAGTTTATGAATACATATTAAATTTTTTATCGTTCAACTGTTGATTTTCTATAACGTTTTTGGTTCATCAAATCAAAATGGCTGCCTTTTGAATGTGTACTATAGGTCCACTTCGAAGTACAAAAGTTCTAAATATTCCTATCAGAATCGAAATAATTCTATCATGCCATGCTTTATGCTAATTTTAACATGAGTAGGCATTATACATGTATTTGTCAACATTTTACACCTGGCTAATGCTTGGTATAAAGATATTGACAAATATAATGCCTACCCATGTTAAATTGTGCATAAAGCATGGCATGAAAGAATTATTTCTTAATTTTGGTTTGTTTTGTAGATTTCTTATATCAGATCAATTTTAAAACAGTAAACCACAAATTCCTAAATATTCCTTGATATATGTACATCCAAAACATTAAGTCAAAAATTCTAACAAAATATTTCCTCACCTTAAAATGTTTGCTAAAATTCAGAAATTTTGCAAAATCTTTATTAGTGTTAAAAATTTTGACAGGACAAGTTGGGCAAAAACAAAATTTCACATTCTTAATTTTATAGCATTATTTGCATACATCATTTCCTATTAGAAATCACATTTTGCACATCGTTTAAACATTGCAATAAAATACACAAACAAATATCTGAATTTATAGTAGCCATTCTATTTCAATTTTATTTATTTATTAAATATTTTTGATATTAAATGCTAGTAAATACCTAATATTATTTTTGTTCAGTAAAAATTGACCAATTTTCTGAAGTTTTTCTACAATTGTGATGACTGCACTTTCATCAGTTTCTGCTAAGGTCTTCATAGTGGAAACCTACATTGAATATAAAACATAAATCAATAAATCAAAGGCTGTGCAGTGACCTAGCTATACTTGCTAATTTTTGTGTCTTGGTCTCTTGTGGAGAGTTGTCTCACTGGCAATCATACCATATCTTCTTATTTTTATGTTTAATTATTATTATTGCAGAAATGCTTTGTTGATAACTTCAAATTCTATTTTAAATACTGTAAATTCAGAAATTATTGCATGCATTTATTATTGCCATTTTTGAAGAATGGACAAAAATGTGTGATTAATAATTGCGATTTCTTGAAAATATGATATGTATCAGATATCAGAATGCAAGCAAGTTCTTATTATTGCGATACTCCCAATGTCACATTATTCCCAATAATAAAAACCTTGCAATAAATCTGAGTACATAATACAGTAGGCCATTGTTTTACTCTTTCGAATTGTTTAATATTTTGTCATGTCTGGGCCTTTTATAGTGAACTATACTTTATTTGTTTTGCTCATTGCCAAAGGCTGGACAGTAACCTATAGTTGCTTACATATATGTCATTTGTTATCTGGAGGATAGTTGTCTCTTTAAGAACCATACTACATCTTCTTATTTATATAAATATTTATATATAAGATATACATGTCAAAGCAAACATACCTGAGCCATTCCTCCTAGTACTTCCTTTAGCTGGGCAGCAGCATTCATACGAGAACTACAGTGTGTCATAGCATATGAATGACCTTGACCTGATATTGAGGAGGAAAGGTTAGCTGCTTCCATCATTACTAAGGTCATTAGACGTCCTTCATCTTTCAAGTTTGGACTAAATTTGAAAAAGGAGAGAGGAGTTGCGATGACAAAAGGTTGCAGTAGTATATTGGGCAAATAAGTTCAAAGGGGCGTAACTCCTAGAAAAAAAATTGAATCGTAATTTCCTGTCGATATGCACATCTACGTAGTATGTCCTTATTATCTGAAAAGGTTTCATGAAATTCTGTTGTGTGGTTTGAGAGGAGTTGCGATGACAAAATGTTGCAGTAGTACATTAAAGTAAATAAGTTCAAAGGGACGTAACTCCTAGAAAAAAAAATTGAATCGTAATTTCCTGTTGATATGCATAACAACATAGTATGTCCTTATTATCTTAAAAGGTTTCGTGAAATTCTGTTGTGCGGTTTGAGAGGAGTTGCGATGACAAGAAATAGGACTGACGGACGGACGGATGGGTCAAAAACATTATACCCTCCGCAACTCGTTGTGTGGGGTATAATTACCAGTGTTTATATAAGGATGAATTTATGAACATTTATATACAAAAGAAGATTGACTATTTAAATGATATTATTCAATTATTATTTTTAATAGTTCATGATTTTTAAATTTTGAAACCTGAAATATTATTTTGACATCACATTATTATTATACATATAAATCATCATATATGTAAAACTGTCGGATGCAAGCAGAATGATGAAAATTACAAAAAAGAACAAAAATATTTCTGAGTTCAATAATGAAAATTTCATGATATATTGTTAAAATATGAGTTCAACTTATTTTTTGAAAGTTTAAAATATGTTTGATAAAAAAAATACTACCATAATGAGAATACATCAATTTAAAAAAAAAGACTTTTGTGCGACAGTCATACAAAGACAACATTGATATTTATAGAATAACTAATCGAAGAATTTAAATATAAAAAAATTTTCAACAAGTGACCGAGCAACACATTAATTCACAAATGCTCGTAGCTCACGAGTTAATTATCAGTGTTGTTCGGTCACGAGTTGAATATTTTTCGATATTTGAATTCTTTGATTAGTTATTTTTTTTATTACATTGGCAAATGCCTTTTTTTATGAAATTAAAGTAAATAAAATGCTCCGCTGGGGCGCAGCTTGATACGACCGCAGAGGTCGAACCCTGAACAGTTGGGGCAAGTATGGACACAACATTCAAGCTTGATACAGCAATGAATTTGGATTGTAATTAAATATTTGACACAGCGTAGGTTTCTGACACAGAATGAAAGTGGTCTAAGAACTTAAAAATTTTTAATTTACCTATTCAAACCATATCATTATTATTTGCTTTTATATATAAATCAGAAATAACCAATTTAAAATGGAAAATTTTAAAGAAAAAAAGGAAAAAAAAATCCCCCCCCCCAAATTTTTTGAACCCCCTTATGATTCATCACCCCCAAACTCAATCCCAGCCTTCCCTTTGTGGTATGGTACCTTGCAGTACAATTTCAGAGAGATCCATACACATGAACACAAGTTATTGTCTGGAAACTAGAAAAATGCTTGTTTTTTGGCCCCTTTTTGGCCCTAAATTCCTAAACGTTTAGGGCAATTACCCCCAAACTCAAACCCAGCTTTCCCTTTGTGATATGGAACCTTGCAGTACAATTTCATAAAGATCCATACACTTACACACAAGTTATTGTCCTGAAACTAGAAAAATGCTTGTTTTTTTGCCCTTTTATGGCCCCTAATTACTAAAATTTTGAGGGAATTACCCCCAAAATCAATCATAGCCTTCCCTTTGTGGTATGGTACCTTGCAGTACAATTTCAGAGAGATCCATACACTTGAACACAAGTTATTGTCTGGAAACTAGAAAAATGCTTATTTTTTGCCCCTTTTTGGCCCCTTATTCCTTAACTTTTTGGGCAATTACCCCCAACCTCAATTCCAGCTTTCCCTTTGTGATATGGAACCTTGTAGTACAATTTCATAAAGATCCATACACTTACACACAAGTTTTTGTCATGAAACTAGAAAAATGCTTGTTTTTTGCCCCTTTTTGGCCCCTAATTCCTAAAATTTGCAGGCAATTACCACCAAAATCAATCCCAGCATTCCCTTTGTGATATGGAACCTTGTGATACAATGTCAGAAAGATCCATAGACTTACACACAAGTTATTGTCATGAAACTAGAAAAATGCTTGTTTTTTGTCCCTTTTTGGCCCCTAATTCCTAAAATTTTGAGGCAATTACCCCCAAAATCAATCCCAGTATTCCCTTTGTGATATGGAACCTTGTGGTACAATGTCAGAGAGATCCATACACTTACACACAAGTTATGTCTGGAAGTTACAAAATGTTTATTTTTGGCCCCTTTTTGGCCCCTAATTCCTTAACTGTTGGTACCATAACCCAAAATTAATGACCACCTTCCTTTTGTGGTATTGAACCTTATGGTAAAATTTCATTGAGATCCATTCACTTAAACTAAAGTTAGAGTGCGAAAACTAATGTGTCTTCGGACGACGACGAAGCCAACGTCATACCAATATACGACCACAAAAATTTTTTTACAGTCGTATAAAAATGTAAGGAACTATATCTTTTTCTACGCATTCACAATTTGTTTTGATCCGACGTCATCGACAACATCTTGGCAACGCCTATTGTTGTATGACGTCAGAGGAGTGAAATAACCACCTTTATTTCACATGTGAAATTATTGGTTTTTATTTCACTGGAAAATCTATGTAATTCATTGCAACCAATGTAATAATCATGTTTAATTCATTTCATTTTCAATAAAATGATTCGCTGAGCACAGCCTGGTCGAACCCTGAACAGTTGGGGCAAATTTGGATATAATATTCAAGCTTGATACTGTCTGAATTTTGATTGTGCTCAAATTTTTGACATAATATAGGTTTCTGACACAAAATAAATGTGGTAAAAGATCTAACAAATCTATTGCGCAATACTGTGCAATTGAAGATTACTTCTTGAAACTTTTACAAAATTTGAAATTCCTTAAAAAAATTGGAAACCCCCCCCCGCGACTTTTGGAATCCCCCCTTGGAGCAATTACCCCAAGACTAGATCCAATTCTTTCCTTTGTAGTATGGAACCTTGTAGTACAATTTCAGAGAGATCCATACACATCTAACACAAGTTATTATTTGGAAGCTAGAATAATGCATGTTTTTGGCCCTTTTTTGGCTCCTAATTCCTACATGTTTGAGGCAATTACCCCCAAACTCAATCCCAGCCTTCTCTTTGAGATATGGAACCTTATGGTACAATATCAGAGAGATCCATACACTTACACACAAGTTATTGTCCAGAAACTACAAAAATTGTTGTTTTTGGCCCTTTTTAGGCCCTTAATTCCTAAACTGTTTGCCCAAAAACCCCGACATCATACCATGATACGATCCCAAAAAATTTTGTGCGGTCTTTAACAACTAATCCTAAATGCAAGAATACTGTGTATTCATTTACTTTTGTTAGTACAAATTGTCATGGATTGAGGAAAAAAAAAATTCGTGAATATTTCATTTTGTGAATATGCCATAGTCTGCATATTAGCATATACAAAATTTGTACTACGTTGAACATTTAAATTTGTTGTTAACTCTAACTGACTAAAATTGATATCCAATTAGCAATAATAAATTCATAGATTTCTTAATTCTTATAAAATATACACTGAAGTTCGTTACTACAGGTAAATATATATAAAGTTTAAACACATCTATAATTATTACCTGCAAAATATATTGGTCCAGAGATCTAACATTTTATCAACGTTCCTGTCCAAACAGTAAGATGAAAATTCTACACCCTGAGAAAGAAATACACAAAATATTATTATTAATCATCTCCACAGTGGTACAACTTGTGTTCAGTATTCATATCAAACATGAACAAAAATATCATATACTCATAGTGCATTATTTCAGCTGTTCAAGATAAGCATAAATATATTATAACATTAAATTTACAGTAATAAATTTTTAGTAGCTTTCCATCTACACACCCTGGGTGATAAAAAATAAGGGAACAATTATAAAGGTAAAGGCTATTCCAAGATAAAAATGTATGTGGAGGCTGAAAGGCACTGAAAATTAACATGTCCAGGTGAAAAGTTTTTGGGATTTTTTTTAATTTTTTTAATTTTGGGGTTCTAGACCATTGCTTTCCAAATCAAACCCTAGCCAATACCATATTTAAAAGCAGTTATCTCCCCTGTATAGTTCAATAACAGTAGTCTGAATAACCTCACTTTAAAACAGTTGTCTCCCTTTTAAAAAGCTACCCTTCTTTTATGCCCTCCATTTCAAGAGTTATCTCCTCATTTAAAGGAACATGCTTATTACCTGTTCATAACTGTAATTATCACTGTGATGTTGATTGACATGGGTACCAGCTTCCAGACCACTTGTGGTTAGCTCTATCTGCTGAGATAATTCTTTGTAATCCATTGAACCAGCTCCCATTCTGTAAATAAAATGTCTTTCAGTCAAATTAATCCAAAGATAATTACAAATGCCAAAATATCAACTATGAAATAAATACTTATGCTATGATTTTACCAATAATTCTTCAATTTAAACAAATATGCAGAGAATTAAGGTGGTACCAAACACCTTGACTAAAATTAATTTGGCTCGTTTAATTTTCATAAAATTTTGACAAAATATTTACTTTGACCCTTTGACAAAAATATAAAAATTTCAAAAAACTTGAACCACACACTTTATCGGAAAAATTTCATTGGATATATAGCAGTTTGACAAACACTAATTTTGATCATTGAGAAGCTTAATATTTCCATAACAATAGAACGTGATTAATAGGTTCAGCTGATTTTAACAGAGTTATCTCCCTGTAGTGTTATGTACCACCTTAATACATTTTTAAAAATATTTTGAATGAATAAATGCAAATGCAATGATTTCACTTGTGATTTCTTATATGCTTAAGATTCCTTACGAGGAATTGCTGTGTTAATACCACACAATTTACTGAGTACAGAAAAATTTTGTGATTTTTTTTTTGTTCCAACACGAGGTGCCAAAATAAACTAAGTTAGGAAAATGTTTGAGATGTTCCTCTAAGTAATTTTATAAGTGAGCTGTTTTGATTGACATGGACAATAGAACGACAATAGATACATTCACCACAATAGGTGATTTAAACTGTGTGATTAAGTGGACAACCTTTTGTGTGACAAAATAAAAAGGTATCTACAAATCAAGGTAAAATTTTCATTTTCTAAAATATAAAATTCATTTAATAGGTGTTTGCTTAGTTCCTGACATGCCTTAAAACTTTTCCAGTTGTACAGGTTTGTTTGTAATGAGAGTAATTATGTGGTGTAAACACATCCATGTTTTTTTAATTCCTTGTGAAGCACTTTAAAAGCATAATACATATCTCCTGATCAATAAAATTTTTTTTATAAATCTTTCGCATGTTTTAAACAAAATTGATCAATTGCAACTTTAGAAAATCTTTATTATGCAGTTTCAACTGACAATATTGAAAAAATTTGCTTAAAAACTGTTGTTTAAATAGCACTTGCAAGAAAATTTCTGAGCAAATGCAACATAGGTACTCACTTTGTTATGACATCACAGAACAAGGGTACATATGGCTTAAGATCTGATGGTACATCACTCATGTTTGACATCATATGTAAATAAGTAATACCATTGGTAGGTTGGACACATAGCTGTACTGGTACTTTCCCTACAAAAAATATATGAATACATATTATGAAATAAGGATATTTCGGCAAAACCATAAGAAGGCAGTAATTCAAAAACACAACTTTGGCAAATATAGACATCTATGGAAAAGATCAAACATCATATGGTAAACTCTTAATCTTTTAATATATAAAAGGTTTGTGAAGACTGTTCCAACGGTCTATTTCTATATCAACTTGATAAAAGCGTTATGTCCTCTCATTCTCATGTTGTGATCACTGACAGTAAAAAAAAAATAAGGACTCTAATAATTGAGATTTTTATATGCCCTTTTATTCTGAGCCTTTCTTTAAGTTTTCTACTAGAACAATCCTTTAAAATCATATTCTTATGAGTTTGAATGCTCCTTTGGTATCTTCGCTTCTCTTTTAAAAGCATATTCATGTTTGAGAAGTATTTTCATATTTACTCTTCAGATTCTCAAATTGTGGATTGCCAATTTGTCATCTTTTCCTTACCTGATGTGACTGTAGCTGCTTTTTCCTCTATAATTTTTCTGTCAATTTCATTTATGTGAAGTGTTGGAAGACAACTCAAATCTTCTTTATCCATCTGTTGTTGTAGGAGTGTTTGACCTAAAGTTTAGATAAAAACAAGAATATAAAACCATAGGATATCATGCCCTGCTCACACTGTCACATTTAATTGTTTCTATGAAAGGCAAAATCTCTATCAGAGACATAATTTGGTATATATATTAAACAGTTCACTCCATAATGAGTTTTGTGTTGATGTTACCACAAGCTTCCTAAATCCAAAGTTTAACCTGATATGCACTTTTACTTTTCAATGTTCAGTGAACCAAACTTTGGGTCAAAACCCTAGCTGGGAATATTTATCAATGTTTCATTTCATAATGCACTTGTATACTAAGTTTTCAGTTGATGTTACCACAAAGTACCTTAATTCAAATGAAAACCTTATCCTAACTTGAGCCAAAACTTGAACAAAATAATGGACAGACCTATGGACTAATGGACGGATGGACTAATGGACTGACAAACAGCCTGCAAAACATAATGCCACTTCACTATCATTGGTGGGCGAGGATATAAATAATAGTATGGGGTGTCCAGCGCTCCCATACTCGTTCTTGGTATAGCTCTTAGAAAATATAGTTCACCATTACTGACAACTTGACAATGATTGATTGTTGCATTTCACAGTGACAGGATGTCCCAGCATAGTCTTAAAGAAATAAGAGAAACCAATTCTATCACTGCAGCTTATCTGAGATAAAATTCATAACTTTCCACATTTTTAAAATTTTACTTTTTTAGATTGGAAAAATGTTTTGTATTGATGCAGTGAAAAAACCTATATAATTCAGTTAATTCCACTTTTTATATTGTAAAGAGATTTTGTGTAGTCCAAAAACAGTGGCAATATATTTTAAGTCACTTCTAGTTGTAAACAGTAGTAATCTTGACCAACCTTTTTTGTAAATTTGTTCCTTATCTTCATCTGTTAATTTCTCCACCATTTTTTGTAATCTTGTTGATTCTTCCTCTTTCCTTTTCTCTTCAAATTTTTCGTCAGGACTCATTGTTGACAACAAGCAATGCTTATTATTCTGTCAATATAAATGACACGTTATATTTGATGAGAGATGTCCAACACAAATTTCAGTCTCTACATAAATAAACAATGTTTGACAAGCGATTTGGAAAGGAATATAACATTTTTAATACAATGGATGAGACATTAAAATAAGACAATTTTCATCTATTTTGCAGAAAATCAGAATGTTTTGATGTGCACTCTTGAGTAACAGGTACCAGATTTGAAGGAAAACACTTCTTTAAAAAAAGTTGTTTCTTTGAAGTAACATACGACTAATCTGTAAAGTCAATGGTTTCATCACGTTACTAAAGAAATAAATTGTTTATGTCTATGAATTTCTTGACTGATAAATGCAAAATTGCTGTTTCATCAACATGGAAAATTGCTGATGATGAAAGCGATTGATGTGGACACCCTAGCAACTAGATGTCACTTTAGAAGGTCGGGAAAAGGGAAGTGAAGTACAAGAAAGCTACTTCTTTGCCCCAGTTGCCCAGTAGCATAAACCCTGAGCCTATCACAAGTTCCTGATTTTTAAAACATCCTCAAATGCACATCTATATAAAATAATGAAAACCCTATTTTGGCATATTTTCATAATGAACATGTGTATTCAATTTCAAATTTATGTGACAACTTTATTGTAAACTACCTTTAACCAAAAACCTTTAACCTGTTTCAAGACTGACAGACAGACGAATACATGATTAATATATAATCCCTCCCATAACTACTGTTGTAGGTTGGGCATAACAAAATTTTACATTCTAGCTTCAGTATCATACCAATAAATGATGAATTTCTAAAAAATTCTTACCTTGAAATACTGTTTAACTTTATTCTGTAGAAACTGTGGATCATCTTGTAATTTCTGTCTGAACTGTTCTACATATTTATTTATTTGTAAACTTTCTACTGGATCTGTGTCATGGTTCCAATTATGACTTATTGCCTAAAATACAAATCAATATTTGGCTGTTGTCTGCCATAATTGTTCTTTGTTTATTTTTTTCTTTAAAGCAAAATCAGTCTGTTGGTTTTCCCCTTTAGATTTTTTTCATATTTTGTCACCCCGGTCTATTTATGGTTTACTTTACTGTGTGGGTTTTCCTCATCGTTGAAGGCTGCAATGTGACCTGTACTTGTTCACATGCTTGTCCTTTGGTCTTTAATGATTTGTTGTTTCATTGGCAATCATACCACATCTCCCTATATTTATAGATATGCTACAAAAAGATCTACATTGTACATGTTATTCACCAACAATTAAACATTATTTTCATACTGCCATATATATAACAGGACAATGTCTCATGTTTGCTAAAAGCAGGGCAGAATTACCAAAGGGATATTCAACCTCATAAGTCAAAGATAAACTGACAACACCATGGCAAAAAACAACCAAAGACAAACAACAGACTACAAAACACAACATAGAATACTAAAGACTCAGCAACCCTATATCACCAATAACAGGGGGTTATCGCAGGTGCTCCAAAAGGGAAAGCAGATCCTGCTCCACATGTGCTACGCTATATATGTCATGTTTTATTAAATGTATATCAGTTATGCATTTAAGTGCTTATATGTTTTGGAATAAAATTTAACTCCACGTAAAATAATCCACATTACAGTACATGTATATGACAAGGTTGTTCATCAGAGTGTTGTCACCTTAAATCACCAACAATCATCCTGAGTCATAGTGAATCACTCAACAATAGTATGAGTGATTTTCAACTGAAACACCTTGTGTGTACTGTATACTTACTAAAGTTAATTTCACACCAAAATTACTGCTCTGATGTTTCAATCCAAGTTCTATCTGATGCAACAAGGCATCGATTCTTTTCTGTTCAAATCCTTCACTGAAAATAAAGAATACATCTATGATAAAACTAGAAACTGAGAGCAGAGTAAACAAAATCATACCACTCTTCCCCATTTGTATATTGGTATGGCAAGGACCATGTTTTGTTATGATAAATTCCAAAAATTAATTGGGTAGAAAAAAAAATTTGTACAGTCGTTAAATAGCACCATTGACGACCAGAAAGATATAGCATCACATAATTTTACTCCATTATTAAATTGTTTCATTTTCACAATGAATGTATAGTAAAAGGGTACAGAAAACTAAAGGGAGTCAGCATAATGTTTTAAAAGCACTGTGTAATTTAAGCATCTTTTTAACACAGACTTAAAAAGCATACTACATCTCCTGCTTTGGACTAAAGATGTTTTTATTAGTGGAATCTAGTGGCTAAATGTTAATTATCAGATTGGTTCTAGTTAAATGGTTACATGTCCATTTTAACAGAAAATCAGAAAAGTTTAAATATCCACATCTAAGATATTCATAGTTGAAGTATAGAGTACCTTACAACTTTATCAAACGTATCAGAAATAATCTGGGTGACTTTTTCCACATCATTAGAACTGATTCCTTGAAGACCAACTGAGAATGCTGAATCTTTGGTATCCCCATGGTAACTGAAAACATAAAAGAAGATAAATTTCATGATAAAAAAATAATCAAAATACTATTGTTTGTTGGATTTTTTGGAATATTTCTGTATAATTTTCATACCTTTTATAAGAAAGTTTGACATCTAGAAATAATTCAATCTAAATATGAGATAATATGCTAATATAACTTGTAAAACTTATTTTCATTAAAAGAAAATTTATGAAAATCAAAGGTTTATAATGTTTTGAATATCTTTTTAAAAGGTTTCTGACCCTTCTATCTTAAATTTAGGAATCTCTCATTTGTTTACAATCTTTTATTTCTTAATTCTTGCAATTATCTATGTGCAGTTTTCATTTTTACTCAAAGCAAAATGATTACTGTCAACCCAGAAATTATTGTGAGGTTTTTATTTATGCGAATTATGCGACTGGATAGGTATCGCAATAATAAGAACTTGCATTCTGATATATTACACATATATCTTTATGAGGCTTCTCCTGAAATTACAATGTTTAATCTCGCATTTTAGTCCATTATTCAAAAATCGCAATAATAAAAGCACGCAATAATTTTTGAATTTACAGTATATAAGATATCAAAGACAATCTCATTTCAACAACAAACTCTTTTGTTTTCTTATTTTTCCCTGAACTTATCAACCCGGAGTACGTCTTTAAGTGGATGTGAAGTGTAAAGTACCAGTAAGACCATACAGGTATACAGTTACTTACCCTGTCATGGGTGCATAATCAGAACCAATTTTAGGTACCAGTAATGACTGATAAAATGGTGAAGTTTCTCCATCCATCAGTAAAGCTCCAATAATACTCAATGTAAAGGATTCAAATGTTTCAGAGATACTGAAATGAAATTCAAATCCAATTAAAATAGGTTTTAACCAGAATTATCACATTTTTTCTTGTGATAACCTTGTTTTTGTATTTCTGCCGTCTGCCTGATCAAATAGGACTACAATAGCGCTTTTCCCTTATGAAGCTTCACATAACATAACTGATGTAATGAATTAGCAACAAATTACAGAACCTAAAATTACTGGTTAATTGCGTTTGACAGTTTAACCATTAGTTTTTTAACACCTTGTTGAGCATTGAAAGAAACACAAGTCAATACGAGACATGTAATTACACATAAGTTTTAATATCAATTTGTTTTAGACATTTTTATTCATTGGGGTTTTGGGTAACTTTTGAAAATATCAACATGCTTTGTTTTCTGTTTAGGTGACTTAAATAGTTCAAGCTAAAAGAGACCTGTTCATAAGGCCATTAAGGAAAACAAATATGTACAGGTTCTCTTTGTACACATACATGACATGCATTGAAGTGTACAGACTGCAATGATTTATTGAAGTAAATGTAAGCTGAACTACTAGACCATGGAGTCAAAAGATATTTTGCAGCAGCTTGATTTGTTATACTCTCTGCACTAAATAGTCTGTATGTATGGAGTTACTCACTCTGTTAATAAGTAACTGACTGACACTGTTGTCTGTTTTTCTGGATCAGGTGCCATTGGGTCAGGCTGACAGGTTATGTGTTTTCTTCTCTGTTGAAAATATATAAAATGATTTATAAGAATATAAGTCCTTCAAATTACACATCCTGGCTTTTTAGCAATCCTTCTCAAAACATCATTCAATCAATTAACCAATAAATTAATCAATCTGATTCAACCAAGTCAAATGATGGCATTAATGGCAAAAATTACTTTTAATCATTTGAAATAGCATGAACTTCATTGCAGATGTGTATCGAATTATCACTTAAAATGCATTATATTAAGATATTATCATTTAACATTTTATTAGAAATATATAATACTTGTATCATTTGGGTAATTTTTAACTTGTCACTTGTTTATCAGAGGCATGTAGTATCTAGGATGTTTAACTGAATATTGTTGGGTTACTTACATTAATCCCTCATCACTTTTATTCTTTAGATTAACTTAAATGATCATTATGATTATTTTTTAAAGTTGCTCAGAAAAATAATCCTTTAAGGGTCCAGTAGAACATTGTGTCTTGTCTGTGATTGCTGCTGTCAGTGTAAAAGTGTTACGATGACTGCCAAATACTATTTAAAGTTTTTATTAGTTAAATAAAATAAATATAAATTAAAACTTTGTCTTTAGATGTTATTTCTTGATGATGAAGAAGTATGTCAAAATTTTGTAACATTCTATAAAGGTTTGACAAAGTTATTGGTATAAAAAAAATTATTCAACACTGTGTGTAAATGTTAACTGCCAAAAACTAAGTCCATCTATCAGTAAAATATAGAAAAATGAAAAAAAAATAATATATTCTTAAATTTTTGATTCAGACGTTATATATATATATATCCAAGTTTAGTATAATTCTATAAAAGTATGACAATGTAATTGATGTCTAAAACATATGTCTGAACAACATATCTTAATGTTAACTGCATAAAAAAAAGTCCATTTTGTTACTGCCGGAATAAGAACTTCAGACATCCACATTCATATGTATACCTCCCTAAGTTTAAAAGATATAAATCTGAATACGGTGTGGCCTTAGACAAACAAAAAAACATATGTATGAATGAAAGGAGATTTTTGACCTACATCAGTTAGAAAGCAACCCAACAACTTGAACAATAATTCAAATTACCATTTCTGTCCATCTTGGTTCGTTAGGCACTTTAGTATCAATATCAATCTTATTAAATTTCTGTAGATAGTTATTATTGATGTACTCTAGATGTTTTTCTAATGGAAAATTTCCATATGTATAAAACCTACAAAAACAAAACATTTGTGAATTACTAATCAAACTATTAGAGCTCTGTGAACAGCAAAGACAAGGATCCAGGATGATAATACCTCTTTTGACACAAATGTACCTAAGGATATTGTCAAACATGGAAATCATGAGCAGTTATTGATCTGTAATTTTGTATGGACATTCCTAGAACTTGCGAAATGCATAGAATGCATACATCTTTGTCATATGAATGCTGGTGGAAACATGTCTCAATGGCAAACACACCACATCTCCTTATTTTTTATGGAGACTTCTTAAACAGCTGACATGCAAAATTTGTAATTTCTAATGGAATAACCTAGGATCTCAAGGATCATTATGTGACATTTAGAAATTCTTTAATAGTTACCAAGTATTTGACATGTAATAATGTGAAAAAAATAATTTTCTTAGCTTCCTATTTATCCTTTAATCTATGATCTCTATAAATTTAAGATGGAAATATATAGTGTCTTTTAAGTGATATTTAGAAATCTTATCTTTTAATTGTTATATCATTAATTTTGTTTGGACATAGCAAGAATTTGATGGATTAAGTGTGAACCTAATAAAAATTCTTTCATGGCTGCCATGCAAAATCTAATAATTTGAATGAATGGATCTATACATGCTATATTTGGATTTTCTTACAATAACACATGTGATAATAAATGCATGGAATAGTTTGAGTTATTCCAATGTTAGATCTCTAGTTGGGTTGGTCTTCCATGAAATCTTTGAAATGTTAAAGAAACACAATGAAATTTATAAACCAATTTCATCTGAAATCGACAATTCTAGCCTTTCTGTCTTAAAACTTTACTCAGTACTCAGAGTACAAAATTTGCCTTCTAATTCAAAATCCAGTATTATGATTGGATGATTGCTGACTCAAAATTAGTGTGACCACAAGGCTTGGATAGACATACCTTGAATTTGAAGGGTGATAATGTGATGCATGAAAGTTCTTTAAATGTTCCCATGTAAGATCTGTTATTTTAGAAGGTTCACCACCAGATATGACTCCATAGGTATGATTTGGTAATAGCTCATTTTGTACTGCTTGGCAATAGATGTTATCTTTATTTGACTGTAACAAAAGCAAAGAATTATAGATAACAACTAAAGGCTCTTAGTTGTTTGATTTGCTCACCTAGCAAAAGTATGCTTTTTGATATCTATTTTCATCTTTATTGTGCTCAATAAATGATTATGAAAAATCAAATGATATATTTTCAAGAATGTTTTTCTCTGACACCAATTTTTTTTTTTTTGGCTATTTGAAATTACAGAAAAACTCATGATGGCAAATTTTATTCTTTTGACACTAATTTGTGTTTCTGTATTTGTGTGTATACTCTATTGTATTGATGTTTTGGACTGTATGAACCACCTGAAAGACTATCATACATGTGTGTGAGGGGGGAGGGGGTTGTACACTGGTATAAGTACCTGAGCCAAGATTACACTATAATAGCCATTTGCCAATTGTTCAGCCAATGATTTTCCCCCCAAAAAAATTATAAACTGGTGCATACAGATATTCACTTTTTTTTTCTATCACTATCAATAAGCAATAAATTCACCAAAAAAATTCATTGAGTAAGAAATTTAAGGCAGCATTCCTGTATTGAATGTTGGACAGTTGGAAGGTACTTTTTATTTAACCCCAGCCAGCATAATTTTTTTTATTTGTTAACATCCAAACTTCTTGTTGAGCATACTTGCTTGCTAGTGAAAGACTGTTAAAAATATCACATTTATAGGATAGAAAAATTCCTTTGCTTTTTCCCACTCATATAACTATAACAGTATACTTACAAATACCCCTTTCATTTCATTATAAACAACTCCTTTAAACATCAGTGGTGAAGACTTGTCTTCAGGGTTCTCATTTTCTAATCTCCAACCTTCTTGACTGTAAACATGGTAAAAACAGTATTAAAACCATAATTAATTTTTTCTGTCGCTAGTCAATATACCCTTTTTCCAGTGGCAGTCTTAGTTTCCCACCCACCATCCCAATTCACCCCCTTGAATAAAATATTTGCATGGTATCCTTTATTTCAAGTTCTATGAGATACATTAGTAGGTGCAACCAACATAGTACCAATACTTTTAATTATTCATTGTGATGACACGAAGTTAAAGAATAATGCTAACTTCTACAAAGTTGATCTTAATGCATTATGTCAGGTTTAAAAATACAGCCAGAATTAAGACTGAAGGGTTGAGAAAAGGGAAAAAAACTTCCCTGCCACCAAACCATTTAAAAGAAAAATAAGATTTACAAACCTGAAATCAAGTTCTCTAAGTTGTGGAAAGAACACTGCATCCAAATAAACTGACAGCAGATTCTCAAAATCTTTTTGGTTCTGTGAGGAGTATGGATACATTGTCCAATCGCTAGCTATAAAAATAAAGTATGAACAGACAATGACAGAAGATAAGAATGAGATTTATTCCAAAAAAAAGATTTATGGGACGACACTGGACATCTTAACAAACATTTCTGTGGTAGCTGCTTGCTATGAATTTTAACTATATCTTTAAAAAAAGTAAATATATTTTTTTGTACATTTTAAATTGGGAAACACTTTTTATTGCAAAATGTTTGCTTCATCAAATCAAAATCACAGCCTTTCAAACAAACAAAGTTCTGAATTTCTAATAAAGCTCAATATATGGGTAAAGATAAAGACAAATATTATAGGCTATATATCATACCTCATCTCCTTATTTTTATATAAAAGGTAAAATGAGCATAGAGCATGAATACAAGATTTTTTTTCTAAATAATAATACATTTATGTGGGTGATGGGGTTCAGAACAGTTTTCACAATATGAAAACACTTTTATTCTTTTTTAATCCTATGAGTGGTTGAATGTTAGGTTGAAAAGGCACAAAAACTGGACTCCAAAATAACCAGATATACAGTACCTGTCATAGCATTCATAAATGTAGATAAGGATCTGTTAAGCATTTTAAAGAAAGGATCTCGGACAGGAAACCTCCTTGATCCACACAGTGTGGTGTGTTCCAGTATATGTGGCACACCTGTACTATCCATAGGTGTTGTTCTGAACATAACACTGAAATTATAAAATTAAAGATTTCCAATTGTGTTCAGTGTTTAAAAGAATGAATATCTGCTAGGAAACATTCTTGATCCACCCAAATTTTCAATCTGATATGAAGAACAATTACAAAGACATTTGTAAAGTAAGTAAAAAAATGCCAAGGGATCAAAATTACAATCCTCCACTAAATAAAGAGCTGCGCTTTGAGCACATGATATGCCGGGTGCCCGTTGCTTTTTCAACAGATAAAGTTCCATAACTTCTCAATGTCATATCAGAAATTTATAAAAAAAACTAAAGGGAGGTTTTTTTAATAGATATAATTTCATATAAACTAGTAACTAAAAGTTCCATGAAAACTGCTCAAAGCACTTTTGAGTTATTGTCCAAAAACTTGAAAATCCCCCTTTTTTTGGAATAAAATCCCTTAACTCGGAAACGTAAAATCTAAAATTTATAAAAATCGAAAGGGAGCTTAAGTCAATAGATATAAACAATTCACCAAAGTTTCATGCAAATGGGTAAAAGCGTTTTTGAGTTATGGTCCGACATGTTGACGAAGGACAGACAGACGTACAGACAGACGCCCTGTATTTCTATGTCCACCGCAATGCTTTACATGGGGGACAATAATCATACAAACATTAATATTGTATATCTACAACGTCAATCCAGCTTAGAAAGTCAATATATATAAACAGTGAATACACAACAAAAGGATACAGAACAAAGACCTAGAAACCCCTTACATACTGAATATTCAAATGAGTAAAGTATTTTTCCCTCAATTTCTGCCAAAGTGTGATATACATTTTCTGCCTTTTCTATCTAGTTATCACCTATTGTGGATTCATTTTTATATGTTGGATACCAATTTTCGTGGATATCCAGAGTAAAGGTGAACCATGAATTTAAATGTTCAACAACGTACAAATTTTTCAGACTTTGGTAAAACCACTAAATCAATAATCCACTAAAACGCAATTTTTCCTCAATCCACAAAAATTAATTCCTGTGAAAAGAAATAAATCCACATCATTTCCTTTAAACATACCTAAAAGCGTTATTGCTATCATCCCTGGCCACATGTAAATGTTCTGCTCCTGTTTTATCATGGTGAAGTACAACACTGGTTAGCATTAACTCGGGAACCTCAACAACCTACAAAACATGTAAAATGTTGTGAAAATGTAGTATTATTACAATGAGGGCTATACCATTACAATAGATGTGGGAGGGTAGAGAGGGATTCACTTTTATAACTGTGTAATTGTGTTTTTATCACCTCAATTGTTTTTAACCCAACTGTGTAAATATGTTTTCACCAACTCAATTTTTTTTACCTTTACTCATTTCATCTTTTAACCATATATTTCTTATCATTTCATCTTTTAACAATATATTTTCTATCACATAATCTTTCTCGAAATTTTTTTTATACTATGTATCATGGTCACCTTTTTTACCATGTACCTACATACATTTTATCATCCCAACTTTTTAACCATCATCCATGCAATTTATTGTATCACCTCACCTTTTTGACTGTATAACCATGGATTTTATCTCCATCTTTGTACTTCTTCACAGCATTTTGTACTGAGGAACACAGACGGCAGTGATGAATTCTTTGGCTAAAATAAAAGTTTATTTGTATCTTTGTACTTCCTTAATTTTAATTATCAATATACATGTATATATGTGTCCCAATCCACATATTTCATCTGTGCAAGGGCAATAACTCCAAAATATTTTTTTTATACATTCTTTTATAATTTTTTTCTTTTCATAAATATCCTTAAAGAAAGGTAGGTGGGAGATAGCTTACATTACAATTTTTTATAAATTTCTATTTTCAAAGTGCAAGATTTCTGAGAAAATGGCTGATCAGTGAAAGGTCTATATTTCCGTCATATAGAGCTCATTTCATGGATAAGTGATCCATTGTGATCTTGGTTAAAATTATGTGATTAGGTCTGTTTCTGAGATACTTTACAGTAGGTCAACAATATTTGATGTATGGAATGATTACAAGGTGCACATGTCTGTAAGGCAGAGTTTATCTGACCTCAACCATGTTTTCATGGTTCATTGGTCATTCTTTAAATTTTTGTGGTAAGACATGTTAGATCTGTTTCTCAAAAACTACAAGATAATATATTTATTAAAGGTTAAAATTATTTGGTCAATGGAAAGATTATAAGGTGTACATTTATGTCTGGTAGTGTTCATCTGATCTTGACCTCATTTATGGTGCTACATATATGATAAATGCATAGACTTTTTACAAGTATCAGTCCAAACGTTGGCTAACTACTTAACTAGGGGCACCCCTTTTCAAAATCCTGTATCTGGACCTTGAATCATAATCCAAAAAGCAGAGGAGACATTTCTGCATATGCGTTCTTGTCATTTAAATTCTTTTTAATACATTGAAAAGTAATAGCAATGATATCAAATCATATTTCAATAGGGTTTGTACCATACAGAGTTGGAAAATTTTATTCACAAATGCAATCAAATGTGTGATTTTCATTTGAATGAACAACCTCATTAGACTTTTATCTTATTGTTGATTTTTTTATAATCCAGAAACAAAACTAATACACCAGATGCACATTTAACTGCACATGTCTAACCGAATTAGCCAAACTGTGAAATCATGCGATATTTTCAGAGAACTCATCGACTGAGGGCTTACGGTTGATAAGCAGTGACCATGCAGACCTGGAAAAACAATCACCTGATCAAGTGTTTGTGTTTACATGTTCATGCAACACAAGAATCATTTGAATCAAAATATTTATTGACAACTTTATTAACAATGACACATTAAAAGATTTTAACAAGGACCACTGTTGTGTTGTTGGTTGCAGTAATAGACGATCTGATATGCCGCCTCATGATGTACCTTTAATTTTCTCTAAGAATTGATAGGATACACGCTGAGGTCGTTCACTTAGCGGGAATAATAAATTAGATAAATAAGTGGGGTCACTTGTCTTAATATCCCTATATTAGGTCATAAATTAAGAAGTCAATTAACACCTTAACCATGTGGAATCCTAGCTTTACCTTGTACTATCTCACTAGGTGACAATCAATAAAAACATACCCTTTTCTACATACAGTTGCTGAAAATGGGACGACCATTTGACATGTTTGATATTCTGGCAGACCGAGATATTATGGTTAATGCAACTGGATAGAGTTTAATAATTTAGGAGGGGTCAATCAGCAATTTGATCTTATTTTATGGTAAAGCTAATAAATACAGGATATCCAATTACTTTTAATGATATCTTGTTGTAAATTCATTCATTAATAAAAATAAGTTAATAAATAATTTTCACAATAACAAGGATTTTACTTAATTATTAGTTCGACGTCCTCCAAAACAAATCCTTGACAATACCACGGATGTACTGTTTATTTTTAAATAATGAGGGTTGTTTTTTAATTAATTTGAAATGTTATTAAATACTTTTTTTTTATAACAGAAATTTGAAAATTTTGGACACAAATTATGCTAAGATATGCATTATATAGAATTTTCAAAAGTTGAAAATATGTAGAAAAATTACACTGGCCCTTGGCACTGAACCACTGTTTAGACAAAGTCGATCATGAACATAGCCTATAAGTGAAATGTTATGTGTCAGGACCTTTTATAGCTTACTATTCAGTATGGATTTTGCGCATTGTTGAGGGTCGTATATTGACCTATGGCTCATTTCATCTATGTTATTTGGTCTCTGGTGAATAGTTGTCCCCCCCCCCCCCCTATTTCAGTTGTTTAGTCCACACCTACATTACTGTCATTTGAACTCTATGTAGTAAATCGGAGCGATTTTATTTTCAAATGACAAGTGCAATCAAACTTGCTGATCGATTTAAGTTATAATTTTAAGGTTATGAGAGGATATTGTTATTTTTTAATTTTCTGATGCAAGATCATGTTATTAAAGATTTGTTTTAAATATTGCAACAGAAGTAAACCTCACAACAAAGAGTCCCATACCTTTTCGCAAATATCCTGGCAAATTTTCCGGGTTTGATTATCCTATGCATTTTGTATTAAAATAGCCAACTGTTACGCTCGAGTGAATAAAAAAAATTACAAGTCAGGTCGACTTTGTTTCAATGGGCGCATCCATGTTGTCATTCAGAAGAGAATACGTTATTATATAAAAATTGAATCTATTTTAAAAATTGTTGACTGTCCTTTGATGTTCATATTTTGTTTACAAATAAAAATACAAGTACTCATTTAAACTATTTCCTTAAAGATAATTTAATCTTCAATTAAAATATTTTCTGCATATTTTTTTTACAGTAAAGTGTATATTCCAGATTCCAATGTAGTATCTTGAAAATTCCTATATTTCATCTGATATTATAAGATCTTATAAACATTAATATAAGAGTAGAGACATTAGTCAAGTTAACACTAATTTATAATTTACGTTGTTATATTTTGCAGGTATAAATTGGATAGCCATAACAATAGGTTGTCTTTATTATCTGTAAATAGTAACTTTACGTTGATAAAAAAAATGTCAACAAACTTTGACAGATAGTTGACAGCTGTTAATTTGAAGAAAAGCAGCTTTCTGTTCAGTGACAACACGTTATAGTAGTAAATGTATATGGTAACTTTTAAATAAATCGTAAACTTATAGAAAAATGGCAATACAAGAACCTTGCAAATTTAACATTTGGAATGCAATCTTGAATCAAACAAAAATTGCTGACATGTAGTTTTATTTTTCCCTATATTCAAATATATCAAGATTTTAAATGAATACAATTAGGCTATTTTACTGCAAGAAATACCAGTTATGAAAAATATTAAAAGCCGTCAAAAATTTAAAATAAAAATTTACAAAAATTTTCTATAGACATTATCTCTATTCTTGAAGGAGTCTCAGTGGCCGAGTGGTTATGTATCACTAGCCTGTCAACACTGAGGCTGTGAGTTTGTATCCCCCGCGTGGCAGAAGTGCTCAACTCCAATCTTCATTTGACTGGGATTGTCAGTTTTCCGACCAAAGGTCGGTGGTTCTCTCTGGGTACTCCAGCTTCCTCCACCAAATAAAACCGGCTGCCAATTAGCACAATAGTGCTGAAAGTGGTGTTAAACACCAATCAATCAATCCAGTTTTCAAACTGCAAACCTTGACCTGTGATTTTGCAACACTTGAACTATTGACCTTGTCTGGCTTTCAAAATTTTAATTCTGGTATCTACATGTACGTGTACATGTATGATGTGTTTTATATTTTCATGGTTGCATCATTGTTGCTGGACAGATATATTGATAGTGCCATCAACACATCTAGATTTTATTCTTCTACAACTTGAAAACCATTTGATTTTTTTTGGTTGGTGTCAGCAGTTTATATTTAAGAAATAACATTGGTATTCCCCTTATTTTTCAGTTGCTTTACCAATGTGGTATGCTATGGAGAATGAACAAAATATGTATGCATTATCAGAGCGTCTGATTCGAGCTATCAGTAATTGGCATTTATGTGTGCCCTCTGTAGACGACATAGAAGATCTGATTGATGCAGGGGCTGATGTTAACAGACTGCATGGTACTTTGTTACCCCTACATTGTGCCTGTATGGTGAGCGACAATGAAACTCTCAAGTTATTGTTGGATAAAGGTGCTAGGGTTAGTAAATTCAGTTTTAGGTAGATAAAGGAGATGAAGGATTATCATCAAAGTACAGCAACCCAACTGACAAATTTATTAAAAATAGATGTCTACAGGTAACTTTATATGGCCTTCATTGTTGCCAAGCATCCACTATATGTGGCAATCCCCAAATGTACAAAAGTTTATGAATCAAGAGACAATCGTATAAGTGAGGATCTGGATGGGGTTTACAGAATGATGGTAAAGATATGGCAAATACAATATACATTGCCTAAAAAATTACAGAATGCAGAAATGAAGACCCCTGAATCCAGTCCCTGGTAGAAAAAAAAGAATGTGACCACCATAAATGTAAAAATAAGATTTCTGATGCTATTTATAGTAATTAAGTTTGAAAAGCTATATAGACAATATACTTACTTCAAAGGATGATAATGAGTGTATGTCAATCATGTCAATGAGACAGCTACTTGCAATCTCAATAAAATAAAAAAGATTCAATACTGGTAGCACAGCTACTTGTCATCTCAATAAAAGAAAAACGATTCAATACTGGTAGCACAGCTACTTGTCATCTCAATAAAAGAAAAATGATTCAATACTGGTAGCACAGCTACTTGTGATCTCAATAAAAGAAAAAATGTTTCAATACTTGTAGCACATCTACTTGTCATCTCTATAAAAGAAAAAAGATTCAATACTGGTAGCACAGCTACTTGTCATCTCAATAAAAGAAAAACGATTCAATACTGGTAGCACAGCTACTTGTCATCTCAATAAAAGAAAAAAAGATTCAATACTGGTAGCACAGCTACATTTTTTTTGTACTTGTCATCTCAATAAAAGAAAAAAGATTCAATACTGGTACCACAGCTACTTGTCATCTCAATAAAAGAAAAATGTTTCATTACTTGTAGCACATCTACTTGTCATCTCAATAAAAGAAAAATGTTTCAATACTGGTAGCACATCTACTTGTCATCTCAATAAAAGAAAAAAAAATCAATACTGGTAGCACAGCTACTTGTCATCTCAATAAAAGAAAAAAGATTCAATACTGGTAGCACAGCTACTTGTCATCTCAATAAAAGAAAAAAATGTAATACTGGTACCACAGCTACTTGTCATCTCAATACAAGAAAAATGTTTCAATACTGGTAGCACATCTATTTGTCATCTCAATAAAAGAAAAAAGATTTAATACTGGTAGCTGTTAATTCATATGATACACCTTCATATATTTATTCAGTAATATTGGTAATAGTTATTGTTACAGATCACAAAAATACAACTACATATATATACATGTACAAAATATGATTGAAGGTTAATGACTTGCAGTCAGGGGTAAATCTTATACAAGTCATGTTTATTTACTTAAGGAATGACTGTAATATTTTTTCTGTCTATGAAGAAATAACATAAAAAATGTGGTGCACACTGAATAACCCGCGTAGCGGGTTATTTAAAGTGTGCACCACATTTTCTATGTTATTTCGAATAGACAGAAAAAAACATTACAGTCATTCCTTATAATTTAATTTTAAATTCCATTTTAAACTGGAGTAAATTATGAAAAAAAGTTGACGACTTCACGGTCATTATATAATTATGACTAAATTATGTCTATGAGCTGATAAACAAAACACCATCAGCCAATCAGAAGACGCGTTACATCCAAAATTAAATTATTTGAAGATGTAAGTAAAATTTACTTGTAGAAGTAAATTTGTATGATTTTCAATTTCATATTAAGATTTGAATAATCTCCCCTTTATCTTCTCCAAAGTAAATAAAATTATTGTACATGTATTACCCCTGACTGACTTGTTACGACTAGAATGTTGAAATTTTTTATCAAAAGCTTAAGACTGCACTAATTGAGGGAAAATCCAACATACATGTACATGTATAAAAAATCAATTTAACCTGAAAACTCATCAAAGATACCAGGCTTATAAGGGAGCAACCATTTAACTTCAGGGGGGTTATGATTTTTTGTCTGAGTCAGAAAAATTTTTTCACACAAAATGCGAACATTTTTTTTTAGTTTTTAAACGCTATCAATCAAATTATTTTTTTCAAAATTTAACACTATAACTTCTATAAGGTATGGGAAAAATCTGGATTCAGAAATTTTTTTTTTTGTCATCTTCTTGACAACAATATTTTTTTTCATCAAATTGGGGATCAGACTATTTTTTTAGGAAAAAACCATAACCTCCCTTTGAAGTTAAATGGTCGTTCCCTAACTTGTACGTCTTTTGGTCTCTGGTGGAAAGTTGCCTCATTGGAAATCATACCACATCTTATTTTTGTATAATTTGGTATGCCACATAAGACTAATGGACATTCTTTTTTACAGGTAAATGATGCAGATGGTTACGGGAGAACTGCATTACATTATGCAGCTGAGCGTGATTCAGTTTGTACAGAAATGTTGTTAGAACATGGGGCCAATGTAAATGCTGGAGATGCTAATTCAAATACTGCTCTACATTGGGCAGCATTCAAGAGCAACGAACCTTGTGTTATATTGCTATTAAAGAATGGGGCTAATGTTGATGCCCATGATTTCAATGATGACACACCTCTAAGTTGGGCAGCTAGAAAAGGCAGCGTATCTATAATAAAACTGCTATTAGATTACAATGCTTGTGTGAACTGTAAAAATCTCCGTGGACTTACAGCATTACACAGAATAGCATCGGTATTAGCCAGTGGCCTCAATACAGATGCAGACAGTGACTGCATGGAGTTACTGCTTAGAGCTGTGGGTCAGTTTGACTTTCGAAATGAGAACTCGGAACTTCCAGCAGATTTAGCTAGGGACAATAAGTTATGCGAAACACTGTTACCACTCTCACAAAATGTTCGACCATTGCAAAATCTATGTCGTTTCACGATTAGGAAATTGTTAGGCCAAAGATACTTGCCAAATGTTGTACCAAAGTTACCTCTTCCAAGATCTATTCAAGAGTTAGTCTTATTAAAAAAATGAATTTTAAATATTTTAATCATATTGTGGAACAGTACACACCAGGTATTGTGGGTTCATTTATTTTCATGAGTACCAATTTTCGTGAATTAAGGAATAATTGTATTTATATCTGGATATCTGATTTCATGGTTTTACCAAAGTCTGCATACATGTACAAGTCTATAGGAAATTGTACTCAGTCAACATTGAAATTTGTGACTCACCTATACCAAAGAAATCCACAAAAAATGGTACCCAAAAAAAAAATGAATCCACAGTAGTCAGGTAAAATTCCTCTTAATGGGGATTTTTTTTTTATGATGGATACTGCTGAATTTGGCTGATTCACTCTTAAATATCCCTCTGTGTAATTCAATAGGCAATATTTCAGAGTGAGAATGGCCTAAAACATATGCCCTTTATCATACATTAGGGTCAAATGAGCCTACAAATTTTATTGTTATTTTTCACATCATGACTTGTAACCTACTGCCCGTTGTTGGGGTCAAAATGGGTTAAATATTAATTGTTATTAATGTTTGTTTTTTTTTTTTACTAAAAAGTACCATAAATTGTCATATTTGTTATCTTATTCCCACCCTCACAGGATCATAAATCACCTATAACCATGTGCACCCTGTTATGACAGACATTCACTGAACCCCAGCAAGAATGATTTTTGTCTCACCTCTACAAATTAGTGGAGACAAGACTTAGGCATGTGATTCCTGGTAAACTATACTTATTGAAAGTCATTGATATTTGGTATGCATTTGTATTAATACTTGCATGGTATTAGCAACAGTACATCTCATTTATATAGAGATTATATGTCCTGACTCTCACTTGTTGTTCATTTACTTTAGAACTTTTGCACAGTTTACATGTTAAAGTTTGTGATTAGGTCAGTTTATTTAACTGGTATTGGCCACAGACCACAATTAAATTCCCCTATTAGTTCTTTATAACGTTTTGTTTCATTAAAAAAATTGCACCTTGCATTTTTGTCAAATCTTTTGTGTGTGTAATGTATAGTACTAGTCCAAAAATATATCCAAAATTCACAAAGATTGAACCAATGACTCTTACAAATTTAGCCAATACACCTCCATACCCCTATGGACAAGTCAAGAGATGTTCCGAAAACTGTAAATATCACCTTTTTGCACCTGGCCTAATCACTCTTTCCATATCAAAATCAGTTAAAATACAACATCCAAAAGTTTATTTCACCTCTCTTCTTTTATTTCCACCCAAAAAAAACTAAGAAATGAGTGAGGAAGGGAAAGAAAAAAAATTAAGAAAAACTACACTCTAATTAAAAGGAACTATATTCGTGGACAATTAATTGTGGTCTTGGGCCTATTAGGGGTCTAAAACTTGACCAATTCTAATAAAACTTAGCATGATTTAAGCTTAGTGTATTATAAAACCGTTTACAAAGTTTCAAAGCCATATGATACCAGTTATTAAAAATGTGGCATTTTTTATATCTGAACTTTGGGTGCTGAATTGTGGCGTTGAATTAGAACAATTTCAACTATCAAATTTGGGCTTCTAAAAACCAAAATATACCAAAACTTACATTTTTTAATGTTTCTATGTATAAGTTATCACCTATTAAAAGCAACAGATAGCATACTTCATGTTTCAGACTTATAAAAAATGGCCAGAAGTAAATTTTATATGAGCCTGTGCCAAAAAATAGAGGTTTTCAAATGAAGTCAGGCCTTATATGAAATGTAATATTTTTCACTTACCACAATTTTCTGAAGTTGTTAAGTTATAAAAAAACCTTTAACATGTTATAAATGTACTTTTAATGGAAATATAAGTTTCAAATAGCATAACACATGTGAATAAAATGGTCTTCAGCAATGTCAAGCTTAAAAAAACAGGTTGTCAATTTAGGTCGTTCCCCACATTTGCATATTAAAAAGCATATAAATGATATGGTAGATAGAGATATGCTTCTTTTTGCTCAAATCTTTGTTTAGATATGATAAAACATGGAGCCTGGATGTAACATGACTGTCACTTTCAACTATATATGTAGACAGTATGATTTGATGCAAAGTTATTTACTTTACTTTTTAAAACCGGCATGAAATTTCAGCCTCAAAAGGCCAATATTTTAACCACTAGCTATCAAACAAAAGAAAATAAAGGTAGTCTGTGAAACAGACAAGGTCAAATAACCAGTAATAAGTGCTTTTGATACAGATTCAGTGAAATCTGCTAAAAGGAATTCAACTTGTATGTGCATAGAACCTCATTTTTCACATGCTTCATACTGACCGTTAGACTAAGACCATTAAATCAGCACATTTTGCACTCTTATTCTGATTTTATCTACTTTTTTTGTGTTCAGTGTTCAAAAATGAGTTAAACATCTACATTAGATACCACAAACACAAATAAAAAACCAGAAAAATCTGCCAGAGAGAAAGTAAGCATGCTACTTTTGTAAATATATTGAAACAACTGAAAAAGTTCAATTTTTGGCATGTAGGCTGAAATGTCACTTTTTTACAAAATTTCTATCAAATAAAAGTGGAAATCATTTATTCTCATGTAGTTTGACAAATTAATACCAATAGATCATTCAGGGAAGTTGTCAAAGTACAAATTCAATATTTCCTGAATTCACCTCTTAGGCCACAGACCACAATTAAATTCCCCTATTAGTTCTTTATAACGTTTTGTTTCATTAAAAAAATTGCACCTTGCATTTTTGTCAAATCTTTTGTGTGTGTAATGTATAGTACTAGTCCAAAAATATATCCAAAATTCACAAAGATTGAACCAATGACTCTTACAAATTTAGCCAATACACCTCCATACCCCTATGGACAAGTCAAGAGATGTTCCGAAAACTGTAAATATCACCTTTTTGCACCTGGCCTAATCACTCTTTCCATATCAAAATCAGTTAAAATACAACATCCAAAAGTTTATTTCACCTCTCTTCTTTTATTTCCACCCAAAAAAAACTAAGAAATGAGTGAGGAAGGGAAAGAAAAAAAATTAAGAAAAACTACACTCTAATTAAAAGGAACTATATTCGTGGACAATTAATTGTGGTCTTGGGCCTATTAGGGGTCTAAAACTTGACCAATTCTAATAAAACTTAGCATGATTTAAGCTTAGTGTATTATAAAACCGTTTACAAAGTTTCAAAGCCATATGATACCAGTTATTAAAAATGTGGCATTTTTTATATCTGAACTTTGGGTGCTGAATTGTGGCGTTGAATTAGAACAATTTCAACTATCAAATTTGGGCTTCTAAAAACCAAAATATACCAAAACTTACATTTTTTAATGTTTCTATGTATAAGTTATCACCTATTAAAAGCAACAGATAGCATACTTCATGTTTCAGACTTATAAAAAATGGCCAGAAGTAAATTTTATATGAGCCTGTGCCAAAAAATAGAGGTTTTCAAATGAAGTCAGGCCTTATATGAAATGTAATATTTTTCACTTACCACAATTTTCTGAAGTTGTTAAGTTATAAAAAAACCTTTAACATGTTATAAATGTACTTTTAATGGAAATATAAGTTTCAAATAGCATAACACATGTGAATAAAATGGTCTTCAGCAATGTCAAGCTTAAAAAAACAGGTTGTCAATTTAGGTCGTTCCCCACATTTGCATATTAAAAAGCATATAAATGATATGGTAGATAGAGATATGCTTCTTTTTGCTCAAATCTTTGTTTAGATATGATAAAACATGGAGCCTGGATGTAACATGACTGTCACTTTCAACTATATATGTAGACAGTATGATTTGATGCAAAGTTATTTACTTTACTTTTTAAAACCGGCATGAAATTTCAGCCTCAAAAGGCCAATATTTTAACCACTAGCTATCAAACAAAAGAAAATAAAGGTAGTCTGTGAAACAGACAAGGTCAAATAACCAGTAATAAGTGCTTTTGATACAGATTCAGTGAAATCTGCTAAAAGGAATTCAACTTGTATGTGCATAGAACCTCATTTTTCACATGCTTCATACTGACCGTTAGACTAAGACCATTAAATCAGCACATTTTGCACTCTTATTCTGATTTTATCTACTTTTTTTGTGTTCAGTGTTCAAAAATGAGTTAAACATCTACATTAGATACCACAAACACAAATAAAAAACCAGAAAAATCTGCCAGAGAGAAAGTAAGCATGCTACTTTTGTAAATATATTGAAACAACTGAAAAAGTTCAATTTTTGGCATGTAGGCTGAAATGTCACTTTTTTACAAAATTTCTATCAAATAAAAGTGGAAATCATTTATTCTCATGTAGTTTGACAAATTAATACCAATAGATCATTCAGGGAAGTTGTCAAAGTACAAATTCAATATTTCCTGAATTCACCTCTTAGGCCACAGACCACAATTAAATTCCCCTATTAGTTCTTTATAACGTTTTGTTTCATTAAAAAAATTGCACCTTGCATTTTTGTCAAATCTTTTGTGTGTGTAATGTATAGTACTAGTCCAAAAATATATCCAAAATTCACAAAGATTGAACCAATGACTCTTACAAATTTAGCCAATACACCTCCATACCCCTATGGACAAGTCAAGAGATGTTCCGAAAACTGTAAATATCACCTTTTTGCACCTGGCCTAATCACTCTTTCCATATCAAAATCAGTTAAAATACAACATCCAAAAGTTTATTTCACCTCTCTTCTTTTATTTCCACCCAAAAAAAACTAAGAAATGAGTGAGGAAGGGAAAGAAAAAAAATTAAGAAAAACTACACTCTAATTAAAAGGAACTATATTCGTGGACAATTAATTGTGGTCTTGGGCCTATTAGGGGTCTAAAACTTGACCAATTCTAATAAAACTTAGCATGATTTAAGCTTAGTGTATTATAAAACCGTTTACAAAGTTTCAAAGCCATATGATACCAGTTATTAAAAATGTGGCATTTTTTATATCTGAACTTTGGGTGCTGAATTGTGGCGTTGAATTAGAACAATTTCAACTATCAAATTTGGGCTTCTAAAAACCAAAATATACCAAAACTTACATTTTTTAATGTTTCTATGTATAAGTTATCACCTATTAAAAGCAACAGATAGCATACTTCATGTTTCAGACTTATAAAAAATGGCCAGAAGTAAATTTTATATGAGCCTGTGCCAAAAAATAGAGGTTTTCAAATGAAGTCAGGCCTTATATGAAATGTAATATTTTTCACTTACCACAATTTTCTGAAGTTGTTAAGTTATAAAAAAACCTTTAACATGTTATAAATGTACTTTTAATGGAAATATAAGTTTCAAATAGCATAACACATGTGAATAAAATGGTCTTCAGCAATGTCAAGCTTAAAAAAACAGGTTGTCAATTTAGGTCGTTCCCCACATTTGCATATTAAAAAGCATATAAATGATATGGTAGATAGAGATATGCTTCTTTTTGCTCAAATCTTTGTTTAGATATGATAAAACATGGAGCCTGGATGTAACATGACTGTCACTTTCAACTATATATGTAGACAGTATGATTTGATGCAAAGTTATTTACTTTACTTTTTAAAACCGGCATGAAATTTCAGCCTC